ATGGCAAAATTTAAAATATTGGCGCGCGACCAACTATTAGTTTGCATAATTTTAGAAAAATCTAGGTAGACCTATATTTTAGGACGCAGTATTCGTTCGTCCATTAACTTCATATCATATTCAAAGTTAAATTGCAAAATTTAGAATATAAGCTCAAAATTATATATTTAAATGCATGCAATATTATTTCTTATGCTCATAGAATTTATTTCATATGCGAGCACTCTAAAAGATATATTTTATATTACAGACACTCACTCATATTTCATATACCCAAAATACTCACATGCTTTTATGTATGTATGTGTGCATGTGCGTGAATTTATTTGCACAAGTGTTGCTCGTTAATATTATAAATTGAGTTTTGAACAATTTTGTGAATGCATTTAAGCATAACAAGCAACAGAACAGCTGTTGGACTATCAACAACGGAGTTGAAAAGAGGTGCAGTAAAAGGGAGGAAGTGTGGGAAAGTGAGTATAATCAGTGAAAGCTTGCGAAAACTTGTGTGAGGGAGTGTGTATAGATTTTATAGATGTACAAACATAAAGTATATACACATTAGGGTGATACTAAATATAAAAATATAATTTTTACAACAAATTTGATAGAACGGGTGTTAAACAATATTTTAGGTATAACGCTACCAAATATGACATCTCGAATCAATTTTAGTTGCTAAATAATGAAAAAAGAACAATTTTTATAAACATAATATTTAGTGTCAATTTAAGGATCTGAATGTTTCTTTTACAAACTGATACAAATTTTTTTTAAGCTATCTTCCATTTATACCATTTATTATCCATTGATTTATATTGTATAACTAAGCAAACTATTTCTTTTATTTCCTTAAGGTGCACCTTAATATACATACATATATTTATACACATACATATATAACATATGTGCACACTTTTTGCTACAAAGCACTTTTTATATTATATATTTTAATAAATATACAATTTTTTGTTTATATTGTACTTGGACTTTGTACTGGGAATATTATAATCATGTGCGTGTTTGTATAACCCCATCTATCTACTTGTATGTATGTATGGAGCGTTGAAAAGAGGTCGTCGTCTCCTGATAAATTCATGCAATTTTTCTTGCAGTTTGAGCGCTTCAATCAAGCATTCAATTGCTGCTTGTTATGCGTATATTTGTTTTCTCAGGACTTGCAAAGGTTTTAATTTCGTAAATTTAATGCAAAATGCAAGAGGATAATCGATTTTTGAGTAAAAATATTAAAAAAAAAATTTTAGATTATAAGAAAAACAAGAAAAAACATAAGCTTTGGCTCTCACAAGAACTTGACTCCAAACGTTCAATTTGTATGGCAGCTATATGCTATAGTGGTCCGGGATCAGCGGTTCCGACAAATGAGCTGTTGTTTTTGGATATAAGAATGTGTGCAAAATTTAAGATCAATATCTCAAAAATTGAGGGACTAGTTCGTATATATGCCAACAGATAGATGGACAGACAAACGGACATGGCTAAATCGACTCAGATCGTCATGCTGATGATTAATATACATATTTTTTTTATACGGTGTCCAACGTTTCCTTCTAAATATTTCAAACTGCGTGGCAAACTTAATATACCCGGTTCAGGGTATAAAAATACCGCTCGTTCGATTAAAAATTTCCTAATATTTGATTTTCTCTAAGCTGGGAGATTATTTTATTACATTTCAGTATATTTCTAAGACAAAAATTAGAAACAACAACAAGCTAATGTCCCTGTGTTTCTCTCATAACAGTTTAGAGTCCTACAAACACATTTCTGGTCAAAACTTAACCCAGTATACTCTTAATCTAAAAAAAAGAAAAAAAATAAGTAAATAACCAAAAAAATAAATAAATATATTTCTGAACCTACGCAAGCATATTTTTCATTTTTATATTATAATCTATTCTTTAAATTACCCAATTTATATTGAGTGCACGGCCATCAATTCACTCAATACAGCCAACGAGCGTATGAACACACACCACTAATCTCAGCATGACTACGCTCACGCTCACAAAATTTTTTTTTTTTTATACATTTTCTATTGCTTGGCATCCTTCATCAATTTATATGACGCATAAGTTTGCTAAATTGCGTCTCATCATAACCTGGCTATGATTTATTGCCGCAATTATTTACCTACTAAAAATGTTCAGCATCCTTTAGCAGCACTACAAGCACCAATACGATTGTGTATGTGTGTCTGTTTGCGACAAATGCGACCAAAAAAGTTGTTAGCGCCAAACTGAAATCCTTTCAATAATGCAATTCATCAAAATGCAAAACAAGCACAACATTTAGATACATACTCTACTTACATGTGCATGTGCGTGTGACTGTGTGTGTTCGTGATCTGCTAAAAATTCACATCACTCATGACACAACATGTGGCATCAAAACACACACTCATTTTGATTTCACCCACCCACGCTTTCACCTAAGTTTATCTTAAGTATAGGTGTGTGCGATGGGTGTGGCAATAGAAAATTGGCGGTAAGCTTGTGAGAAAGCGAAAGCTTTAGTGAAAGTGTGAGTGAAAATATGCGGAGAAGGCAATGTATCAATTTGCATATTTTTGCAATTTTTTCGAAGCAAAAAATGCAAATTGTTTAACGGCGCTGGTGATGCGTGCGAAAATGGGGAGTCATAAAAAATTACCCCGCATTTGATGGGAAATGTGCAATAAGTCGTCTTTCTATTTTTATTTTTAAGACACTTAAAATCAATTGGTAGGAACAGATAAAAATCTCTTGAAGCCAAGTATAAACTATATGTTGGTGGCATGAGAACAACCCAACTAAGATACTGGAGCTTTCGCTAATTCAATATCGATGTGTGTGGCTTAACGTTGTGTAGAAGTTGGAACATAATTATTTTACTATTGGCCAAAGCTGACCACTTTTGGGCGATTGCTTACTTCAGACGGTCCAGCTGCTGACAGTACACATACAAATTTAGAGTAGTAAAGCAGTTCATAGTATCAGATTGACGGCAAATCCCACCAAATGATCAACAAAGCCTTCCTGTGCGCTTATGCTGGCTTGACCACAGTTTGCGTCGGCTCACCGTGAGTCGACCACGATCGTTTTCGCTTAAAGTGTACGTAAGTTATTCACTTGTCATCGCCAGTAACTACCTCAGAAATGGAGCGATTTGGTTGCAATTCAGCAGCGAGGTTGATACGGAAAATATGTCAATGAGATTTTTTGCGTTAACTCATGCGGCATCCATGCATCGTTTTTATTTTTTTTATATCCAGCCCTACATAATTGCTTTTTTTTGTATCATGCTTACCTCTTGGGCAATCGAAAAAGTGCTTGCATGTCGACCGCGCTAGACAAGTTCTATTACTTTTTCAATATTTTTGAGAATTGGTCTTCCAGAGCCTGGTGCATCTTTGATATCAAAAATATCGAACCGCATCCAGGAAACCAAAATAGCATATGATTGATTGATACAGTATTAGATTTATAAACACTATTCACTTTTTTTGCCACTGGCTTCCGCTTTATCGAAGAAAAAATGGATTTTTTTTTTACTGGTGTCCAGCTTTGACGCGAGTTGAAACAATACTGCGTTAGACAATCACTAAACTGTCTGCGAGATTTTTTTATAGGAAATATTATGTTATCTTTCTTACACCTAATAATACTTTTAGAACGCAAGATACAGATTACTCAAGTCATTTACTAAAAAAATTATGAATTTCTTTTTACTAGAATTAATACTTTCGCCAAATCTCTATGTGGGTCTAATATTCCTAAAATATGGTGAAAATGCATATTCACAGAACAGTACGTCATGATTTATAGGTTATGTACTCAAAATTTTTTTTATTTTTTGCAGAATTAATACTTTCGCTAAATCTCTATGTGAGTCTAATATTCCTAAAATACGGTGAAAATGCATATTCGTAGAACAGTACGTCGTGATTTATAGGTTATGTACTCAAAATTTTTTTTAAATATTTATATGAAAAGAAACTGTAAATTTTGACATTAATTCTGATTGTTTTACTGAATTTTACTAAAAAAATCAAGCTGCAAAAAATATATTATATAATATAAATAATAAATAAATAATTATATCAATAATAAAAAAGCTGAGTTATTGGTACTAAAAATATGTAGAAAACTTTAAGTGGATAAATAGTAGGGTGGAGAAAAAAAAAATTATTTTTATTTGCTTAGCCGGGGGTAAAATCTGTGATTATAAGAAAGAAAATTTTTGGACAAAAAAAAAAAAAGATTTTTTTATCATCTAAAACGCCGCCTCAATTTTAAAGCAAGTTTTCGAGTTAAAATTTTTATTTCGTAAAAACTTTTTGATAAGTGTTCTAGAAGCTGTGGAGAGTCCGCTTTCTGGCAAATCAAAAGTTATTGACTAAAAAAATTGTTTGTGATCATTATTGGAGTTAAAAAAAAAGTCTTAAACGACAACATGCTTTCCTTAAGCGTTAAAATAAATTTTGAGCCAAAAACCGTCAAATTTGGTATATTTTATATAAACGTGAAGAGTTTAAACCAAAAATAATTTTTTTTTGTCAAAAAAAAATTTTTACCCGAAATTTCCTTTAAAACTAACTGCACCGCCTCTACGTGTTAAAAAAAATTTTTTTTGTTTGTCCAAAAATATTCTTTTTTTATAATCTACACATTTTACCCCCAGGCTAAGCAAAAAAAAAATATTTTTCGTTCCACCCTAATGAATATGTACTAAAAACGAAAACGTTATTTCTGCAACAGAATTTTGAAAAATGTATAAAATTTGTACTAAAATCAAAATTTTACAAAATTTTGTTTAGTACATATCAATTTATGACATGCTATTTTTTAAATTTATATGATAGGTTATTTTTTATAATTTACTCAAATACAATATATTGTCATATTCCGTATTTAAGTTAAAGCAAAGCAAATTTAAGTCACACCATCCCTTAAACTGATAAAACTAAGCATATTTCATCGTTCGTTCTTTCCTTCCAGGTTGTAAATTCGCGTCGCGAAACGGATGCTGGCGTCTACTGGTGTGAGGCGAAAAACGAGTTGGGTGTGGCGAGAAGTCGAAATGCGACGCTGCAAGTTGCCGGTGAGTACGCAAAAAACTTCAAACATATCTGCAAATAAATCTAATATGCACACACACACATCTATACATATATATACTTCGATAACCATAACCATCAAATAATAAATAAGCGTGTGTGCGTACATTTTATAGCGCGCCAAAGTGCAAATACTTAAATGCATATGACGCTACTTAGAGCCGCGCAACGACATGATAGGGTTAAAGAATATTATACAGAAACAAAAAAAAAAAAGAAATAAAATTGCAAATAAAATTAAAGACAAGCAGCGCGCAACTGGAGTCAATCGAGGCAACGATGTTGCCACTGCAGACTTGAGGCTCGAGTGCGCCGCGCGCTTCTTCATGTGAGTGTGATTGTGTGTGTGATATTTGAGATTGTGTGCTGCGCGCTTACCACTTTTTCGCGTTTCTCCACCCGCGTTGTCCCTCGAGCGCCGCTGCTCCTTTACTGCCAGCGTTGTCGCAACCACACGCACATGTGTTCTTTAGTTGCATGCGTCGGCTGTCAGCTCAAATAACACGCATTTCTACAACAAGCTTGCACACTTAAATTGCTTTTTTTGGTATTCTTTGCTGCTCTAGCTCAAGTTATGCGAAATTTATGCAAACTGGCTTGCTTGGCTGAAGAAATTTTCTTGCACGCGTAAGCGGCAGCGCAGCTACTTTGTACCACAATCACAAGACTGTGCTGTGCGACGCTACCTTTTCGACCGTTATATTTAACCAGTTTTACACATGAGCGGTCGCATACTTGAGTGCAAAGATACACAACCCGTGAAATGATACTGCCGCAAGTTTGTTGCTCCACTCCACCGCTACATTTTATATGTATATTGTATGTTGCAACACATTTTACATGTTGGCAGCGTGTTTAACTTATTGAATACCTGCTGTAGCTAATTTCTGTCAATATTCTTTACTACCTTTACATTTTGCTATATTTTCGCTCTCCCACGTTTCTTTAACGACATTTCATGGGTGTACGTGTGTCGGTGCAACATTTTTCAATTTCTTATTTTTGCTTTCAAATCGCTTGGGGTGTATTTTTCAATATTTGCATGGAAATCACGAAAAGCACGTCGATTCTGGTTTATCATTGCCATGAAGCGAGCAGGGAAGCGTCTACGCTGCCAGTAACTGTAATACATTGAAGCACATAAACCGTTAGCAGGTATTTGCAACAAATTGTACAAGTGTGTGTTTGTGTATGTTGTTTGCAAGTCCGTAAAAGTGTTGCGCCACTCAGCTGCTGCTGTGCAAACGCTTTTGGAATTATTAAATTTTTTTCACTCCTTTCGCTTATTTGTGCGGGTGCCTTGTCGCCCGGCGCCAATCTTCGTAACTTCCAATCAAATCTTTCCACCTTCTCGCTGCCTCTTTATACTCGTACCTCCTGTTTTACACTACTATTTATTTGTGGTTTTCTACTTCCACATTTTCTTATTTCGCTGCTCTTTTTCTGCGTCGAAAGGTTAATTCAAGTTGCGCATCATTGTTGCACGTACTTTGTTGAGGCAGCGTTGTTGCCACTGCTGGCGCTGGCACCTACTTTACATCCACTCAAGCAACGAAACAAGACTTGCATATTTTATAGGTGCACATATTTTATTAGTGTATCGGTGTTTTTTTTGTTTTTTTTTTTTTTTGTTTTTTGCTTTCCCACAAACTCACTGCGAACGGTACTTGGTGAAGGTGAGTGCTGGCCATGTCCGTTTCTAGTTGCCACTACCTCAGTGTTAAGGCACCTTCCAGGCACTTGTTTGCTTGTATGTGCGCTTGTGTGCGGGTTACTTTGCTGCCACATTGTCATGCAGCACGCTGCTCGTTATTGCTGTTGCCATGCCATGTAACTCGAAGTCAACTTAAATCGATAAAAAGTATTAAAAAGATTCCTTTGCTACTTTTACCGGTGAAATGCTTATGCAAATGGCATAGATTGTCGTATAATATTTACATAGTAACATACTTCGTGCCACGAGTGTGCAAACTGGGTTAAAGTTATGCAATAAAAATGAAAATTTTCTTGTAGAAAGTACTTAATTGGCTGTATTAACCATGCAACAAATGTCCTTTATTCCTGCAACATTGGTTTTTTATTCGTAAAATGTCGTATGCCATATTGTAACGGTGATTTTGGCTTTGCAGCAATTTTAAGACGATTCAGTGTTATTTTTCGCGTATTACGAAGAACGAAGTATAGCGTTCGTTACATCAAACTGTATATCTTGAACCTTTTTAGTTTATGTCGAGATCATAATCTTTGCACTGTGTACTTAAGGATGAGCTGATATTAGATCGAAAATATTATATATATCATGATTTTGATATTATTCGAATCATCCACTTTAATCCAAAGCGTTAACATCTACTTTTTAGTCACGTCAGTAGTGATATTTCTTTACTATTTCACAAGCCTAGCAATAGTCTAGCAGAAGCCTTTGAAATGATAAAAAATAATGATGAAAGGATTGATAAACAAGAAATTCATAGTCAGTTGAAACCCATCGGAAACAAAAGATAAAATACCTAAAATTAATGCTAAAATAATTTACTGGCAAAACAGTTTATCTCGATTTCTGGCAAAACTACGCGTCCTTCAGGAAAAGATTATATGGCAATGTTGTAGGTAACGAAACAATATATATAAGTTTTGTGTACAGACTTTTTCAGATAACCTCAAAATTTACGTGAAAAATTCAAATAACTAAGTTTTTGGATTTTTTATTTTTATATTGTACAAAAAATTTTTTTTTTCACGAAATTTGGTCTAAACTTAACTTCTAATATCTCAAACACGCTGCATTTTTTTAATTTAAAATGTGTATTTTTTCCACTTATATTTATTTAAATTCTCAAGCCAAAATTTAAAATTTTTGTAAAAAGTCAAGAGGTTTAATAATTGTTGAAACCTCTTCTTTCTAATGGTATAAAAATTATATATTATACATCACTATTAGGGTGGAGCGGATTTTTTTAAATTTTTTTTGCTTAGCCTGGGTTAAAATCTGTAGATTATAAAAAAAATATAATTTTAGGACAAAAAAAAATTTTTTAACATCTAGAAACTCAGTTTTAAAGTAAATTTCGAGTTAAAATTTTTTTTTGGACAAGAAAAAATTATTTTTAGTTTACACTCTCTACATTTATATAAAAATTACCGAACGTGATTTTAATTGGCCGGAAAGAGGATCAAAAATTGTTTACGAAATAAAAATTTTAACTCGTAAATTTACTTTAAAACTAAATTTATTTTACCCCTAGGCTAAGCAAAAAAAAAAATTTTTTTTTCGCTCCACCCTAATCACTTTAATAAATTTTTTCCGAAAATGTTTAAAAAGACCCACTAAACCACCATTTTGTTTATATTTTCGATTACTAACAGCACTTGTTTAAACATAATTATTTCAAATACCATGATTGCCGTATTTTCCATTTATTTATGTTTCTTCCGTTTCTGTTTACAAAATATGGTGTCACAAATTTTAAGAGATGTATTGCTCTTCAATGTTTAATTTCCTATACTCGAAGTCTATTTTATTACAACAAACCACTCAACTAATAATCTTCAAAATAGCTTTGGCTTATTTTTGTTAGATGTCTCTATCTCAAGGTTTTTTTTTTTAAGATATTCTTATTCAGCCTCGGATTTTACGAAGTAGTCTTTAGTCAATACCCACCAAGCACTACTAATTGAAATTGGATGCCCAATTTTTCTAAAATTTAAGTTTTATAAAACTCACTTAACATTATTGAAAGCTTTTATTATTACCACGAAAGTCTTAGCACTCCGAGAATATGAGAGAAATAACAAAAATTAGGCAAGTATACAAAATTATGCCTAAACTAAGCATAAAAATATCATTATATGTGAAGTCGTTATCAAACTGCCTTATTTACCATACACTTAAACGCCAGCATTCATAACAATTTCCATAAAACATTTTGTGAATTCTAAATCCACTTAAATTGTATGGCTTTATAATTTCGCAAAAGTTCAAATGTGCGGCAATGGTGCGTATACGCCAAGGCGCACAAATACAATATGAGGTGATTGGTGCCATTAAAATTCAATAACACCACCGGCGGCAATTGGCTTTGTTATTGGAATGTTTCCTGAACGATACAGCGCAACCGTGTTGCCACATTGCTGCAATATCACATTACAATACATAAATATATATATATACACTCTTCCGCGCAATTCACTTTCAATTTCAATTGAAAAACCTCGAAGCTAGCTAAACATGTGGAAATGAGAGCAAAAGTAAGTGTATGAAAATAAAAAAAAACGGAAAAGTGGAAAAATGGATCAAAAAATAAATTGAAATCAAAGCGACGCGCCGATATTGTGCCTAAAGATTTTCTTTACCGTCAAAGGTGGCCTCAAGCCGAAAGGTAACTGAGAAAGGTGCTGCGTCTACTAGTATTTGTAGAGCTTTAAAGGCATGCGGAGTGCAACAATTTGCTATTAGGCACCTGCCACAAGTTGCAAAAACAACAAAGCGTCTAACACAAAGCTTTTGCCGCAGTCACCTTGCCATAAGAAATACTCGCGATAATAGCAAAATGCCACATTTCCCTACAAATTCCACGAGCTGAAGTGAACTGCCATCACATTATTCACCTATTGCCGATAGGGAGTGGCGGAAAGTGTGAATTGAATCAGAAGAAAAATGTGAAATAAACAATATTGACTTTTTCTACATCGTTGCCTGCAGCCAAAGGCACACACACGCACACAAACATAAACACCGCCGACGTGCCACTTGATGTGCGCATATCATTTTCGTGCAAATTTTCTGTTTCCTTAAGCATAAGTCGAAATGCCAACAACAAAAACAACAAGATAGCGCGTCACTTAGCTACACGCTGCCACTTTGCCACACACACCGACGCCGCAACATTTATGTAATTTCCTCTTAAATTTCCTTAAACAGTTTTGTTTTACTTGCCTTGATTTGTGTGGCAGCTAATTTCAAACTCACACACAGATATATATA